AAAAAACACACGAGGGTTAGGAGAGAGTGAGGGAATATGCCGTCTGGCAAACAAATTACTAAACGTGAATGCTACTAATTTTTGATTTTTGTAAATAATTTAAAGCCTTTATGAATTGAGTTAGTAGCTGTTTTTTTTTTCTGTAAACAATTTTGTAACGCAGGACGCCTCGATAATACCCCGCAGACTGCGCGGTAAAGCTGAACAAAATAATCGCTATCTCCGATGGTTCAAAGTAATTATGCCTTCTGAACACGCCGCCAAAAATATTTAACAAAACAAAAAGCAAGTCTGAGAAATACCAGCAGTGAAAAACATTACCATTATCGACGACAAAACCCCTACCGATCGACAGATGCTTCAAGACTTAAGAGATAAATTGGAAGCTTAATAGCAGGATGGCGAAAATAACCTAACAATTAAATTTCATAACGGTTTTTCAAAAATTGTGAAGACAAATACCATTCAAACCCTCTATAGCTTACAACATCCAACAATTTAACTATATGACCATTTTATATACTAACCTGAATTCTCTAACCTATATAGTTTTCCCCAAATATAGCCATAGAAAAAGTACAGTTTTCAACTTGCTGTAGCAAATGAGTACTCTATGTTTTTCATGAGCACCGGAAAACTTACCGGAGTATTTTTATGACAGCCTATTAAAATAAACCCAAGTTTTAGCTTCGTTTCATGCTGAAAATATCCGAATTACTATTTACTGGGAAGAGTAAGGACAAATCGATTGTGGAAATAGCAACTAAACATTTTGAGATATTTTGCTATTTCTGTAATCGATAGATCTAATTCCATTTAGAATTCATTTTGCACAAATTTCCAAGAATTAATTTTTCTCTAAATCTATTCAATATTTTATAGTCAAACTTTATTAGTTTTTTAAAAAAAAATGGTTCTACGTAAGATAAACATAACAATGAACGGGGCGCTATTCAGCCTTATACGTGGTTGTACAGGTTCACAATTGTCAGATAATAAGTCACAATTGCGAGATAATAAGTCACAATTGCGAGATAATTATTCACAAATGCGTGATAATAAGTCTAAATTACGAGACAGTTAATCACAATTGCGTGATAATAAGTCACAATTGCGAGATAATAAGTCGCAATTGTGAGATAATAAGTCACAATTGCGAAATAGTAACTCACAATTGCGAAATAGTAACTCACAATTGCGTGATAATAAGTCGCAATTGCGAGATATTATACTTTTTTGAATCCAAATTGTATTAAAATATATACATACTTATACCTATAAAATATTTTTAACTCAACCACTACAATTTTATATTGATAAAAAAACACCTATTACACTCAATCGCAAGTGACGTCTGTGAACTCCTCTTTCAACATGGCGACCAAATTTTGCAAACAGAATGTGCGTACTTTCCCCCTCCATTAGGAGATTTTACTCTAATTATATTTGCTCTCTGTTTGTAGTTATGCAATGGAATAAAGCATCCGTATGAACGTACTGAAAACAATACATTTGGATGAGCTCTAGTACGTCTGTACATTTTTGCGAATCCACTTTACTGTACTACACAGCTGCAAATCCCAATTCTCTCGTGGTATATCTAATCGCAGGCAAACATCCAGAAGCTAGTTTAATTAAACTGTCTACCTGGTATTTAGACCTCAAATTATGCAGTTTATACTCAAAATATTTTATCGAATCCAACTTTAAAGTACAAAAATATGTTTTAAAGTTAAAAATTTCGTTGTATCGATATTAAGTATTAAAAAGTTAACCTTCCATCATTCATTAGCTTTAACAATCACCATACGGTACGTTAACCAACGCATCAAGCAAAGAGAGTAACGCGGTCGGAGATCCATGATTAGACACATGATTACACCTCTACAGGTAGTGAGCATGTATTATTTTATCTCTATTACAATGACATCATTTTTCTATGCCGTTCTTCTGAAGTCCGTATTGAAAAGTTAAGGTACTGTATATGATGTGATCTTCCTCGTTCAATACTTTGCTTAATTTACCTCTAGCTAGTAACATATTTCGGCACTGTTCCATACATACTCTTCAAAACCACAACATTCCCCTTCTAGTAAAACATTCTAATAAGGCTTTATCTATGTATCCAAGGCCAAAATTTTTTTAATAAGCCAAATACTATAATATAAAGTGCTCCAAATATCACAAATGTAATCCAAAACGAAATATTTACGAAAAAACACCTGCGACAGTGTTCAGAAAAGATTGCTTTTCGAAGAGGGTAATATAAAATGTATGAAGGTTATGCAGATACACGGTTTGAATTTTATGATGAAATATATGTACATATATTTTCTACTTCATGACACCTTCTCTTTTGTGCTTCTCCTTCGTCTTTGATGATGTTTCCTTTTACTTTAAGGATTGCTCTTTAACAGAGTTTCTCAAACAATTGAATTACGTAATGATAATATACAGTGCTGGCAGGATCAAACCTTTTGTTCTGCTTTGCCTTGTTGAAATGAATAATAAATGGCGTTCGTTTATGCAGGACAAGAAACGATATACCAGAGATATTGCTAGTTGAGCCACCGGTCGGTAGCATTGACAGAAATTAAATAGAGATTGGAAATTGACACGAGGATTATATCTCGTTATCAGTTCAGTTAGGTACATCAGTTTTCAGTGTTGAGTTCAGTGTTTGAGAATGATTGATACGAAGTACCTACATAATTAGGTTTTTTTTTATTTCATCTTATTTGAAACTCATTGTTACATTTTTAATAATTAATTTTAGATTGTAAATATAATCATATGGTAAATGTAATCACATTTGGTGTAAAATAAAAAGTTATATTCCATAAAATAAAAAAATATATCTTGAAAATAAAAAATCAAGTCAGACTACAAATTCTAAAAAAAATTAATGAGGGACTCAGAAACCTTCTTGCGCTTCATACAAACCCAACTTATCGTGAAACTCTATCCGTCAATGATATGTGGTCGGAAAAGCCAGTTAGGAACTTTAAAGTTACGCCTTCAGTTACGCACCCTATTTTATAATAAAGTAGTGCCTTTTTTAGAATTTATACCGATGGCGTCTTATTAGAAATGACTATTTCTTAACAAATAGCAAGTTAAGCTTACATTTCTCTAATATGATGCGTTTGATATTTTATTTAACAAATAAAATATAAATTATTAAAATAAACTATATTTCTAATAAAAAACATTGCAAAAATGTATAAAAACAGAAAACGAACAAAAAATTCACTCTTGAAAAAGAACCAAACAAATCTAGGATACTACAGGTAACCATAGACACAATATTAGTCTAAATATATGAGTTCAGTTTCATATTAATGAGAAACGCATATCCCCTTCGTATCCTCCACATATTCTCCTTGACAATCTTTATTTTTAACCGACTTCAAAAAAGGAGGAGGTTATCAATTCGTCGCGATATTTTTTTTTATGTATGTTCGGCAATAATTCTTTGACACGGTGTCCGATTTCAATGATTCTTTTTTTGTTAGAAAGGGGGTACTTCAGGAGTGGTCCCATATAAATTTGGTCAAAATCTAATAATTGGGTCCATGAGAAAATCCTCAAACTCATCATTTTTTATGTATGTTTAGCGATAATGCTTTACCACCTTGTCCGATTTACATGATTCTTTTTTTGTTAGCTAGGGGGTACTTAGCAAGGGGTTACCTCAGGGGTGGTCCCATATAAATTTAGTTAAGATGTGGTGATGGCATCTGCACGTTTTTGAAGTCGGTTTTTTTAAATTTTTAATTTCTAATACTTGTTAGCATGCCATTGCAGCGTTGACCTTGGAATATTAAATACCCCTTCTCCGCCTCTCTATCTAGCCCCTTTTGAACTTCCCTAAATCCACTTTAAACTGCGTTGGTCGTAATTTTGATAAACCTTGTTACCTCGTTCTTTTTTGTAATTTCGGACCAATTGACCCCTAAAACATACAAAACAGATAAAAATAAATAATAATAAAAATGAATTTTGCTCTAGCTTACCAACGTGTTACCAACTGTAACCATGTTAGTAGATGTGATGACGTCGGGCTTACGCTAGACAGATGTCAAACTTGTGAACACTCCGTAATTTTGAGAGTTTTGTTTTGATACGATAAGAAACTTTATAAAATTTGGAACTATATTCTTGAATTAATTTTTTTCTGAAAATATCAAATTAATATTATCTCAGAATAAATCCATAATTAACTACTTTTCAGTTTTGTCTGTAAAAGAAAAATTCATAAAGTGGTCAAGTTTAAATGAATGTAATTGAAATTGAATGAAAATTCAGAGGTATCTGATTATTTATAATACAGAATAAAATTTCGTTAATAAATACTATACAGAAAAATTAAAAAGAACATGTCATATAGCCATTATATGACACATTACTTCTAGGAGTTGGTTACCTGAAACCGCTAACCGTAGTTAACTATGACGTCATAGTCAACTGGTCCGAGTGAGCTAACTGATTCTTTAGCAATAAACTGTGACTCCAAAAATAATATTCACTGACACTGACAGCAGCAAGCAAAATACCAGCTGCGTTTTAATCATCTGCTTCCGGAATTGTCGGTTTAGTCGTTTTAACCTATCAGATTAAAACAAGAAAACTGCCAATTCCGAAGCAGAAGCGGATGATCAAAACGCACCTATTAAAAATATTGCGCCAAGATGTAGGCAACACGTAATAAGGGATCAAAATGGCGGAGTTTTCTATCTCCTTTTAAAAGGCCACATAAATCAAAGTATGTGTAAAAGGCACTCAGAAAGCTGCGCAGTGCGACCATTCTCCGTATAGTAAAAGAAAATCAAAGTATGTGGGTTGGTACAAAGAAACTGACAGCGAATCTGACACTGTCACAGCAAAATGATTATAGAGCTAATCCTGATAGTTTTAATAATCCTTTCTGTTATAAAATACATTTAATAAATTTATCAAATTAAAATGAAGTTAAGAAAAATTTTTACTGCATGTTTTAGTACTATGCCTTCTGACAGTATGGACGACATCGAATTGAAGAATATTCAACTGCAATTTCCTACCGCTAGATCTCTTTCAAGGGATGATTCTTCGGTGACGGAAGAAGTTGTAGAAACGGATCGTGGAAATATCGTAGTGGCGGTACAGGGATCCAAAAAGAAGCCGGCTATTTTGACCTATCACGATTTGGGTCTTAATTGTAAGTAGTTTTCACTTTTCATCTGCATAGTATCTCTTATTATAAACCGTTTCAAATTATAAAGAAGGCAATATACATATTTCTATTTTATATAAATAAATATAATGTTTTGTTGTTGCAGATGTATCTAATTTCCAAGCTTTCTTCAATTACATTGATATGAGAGCGTTATTAGAAAACTTCTGTGTTTACCATGTAAATGCGCCTGGTCAAGAAGAAGGTGCCCATACACTTCCTGAGGAGTAAGTAGAAAAACTATTTTGTTATTTTAATTTTTACAATTGCTTTTAGTTACAATGTGAGATATACCTAAAAATATGATGGTAAATTATTTTTAATGCTAAATTGATAAATGAAACTTTTTTCATGGAAATGTTGTATTTTACAAAATGATTAAATTGGAGTCCAGTTTCCATACCTTCTGAAGCCTACCGACTAGCCGTTATTGTTAGGACCCAACAAACAGTTTGAGTAGGGGAATAAAATCCCCAATTACTGTTACTGTCTAATTGTAATGATGGCCATTTAAAAGGCTTTACTAGTACTTACTATTTTGTAATAGGCATAGCCGTGCTTTTACAGCGAACATGTGGCAACTACGATATCCCCGCTATCTCTATGCTCTCTGGTGTAGTCACTGATTTTCGGTTCGTCTAATATCGCACCACCATATCTTCTAATTTTAGTTGACGAATGACTGTTGCCCCGTTGCCATTATATTAACTTATATACTAGTCGTATGACTAATACGAAAAAATAAGCACTGTATATAGAACACTACGGCGACAGTCGTGGCGAAGTCACTTAGCCATTAAATCCAGTTAATAGGCCTCAATTTTCCCTTTAATGTCTAGAAATAAATTATGGTTAACATATATATTTAAATCAAAGCATAGAATAAAATATATTTAAATTACAACTCAGAACAAAAATATTTGAATTGAAACATAAAATAGTTTAGTGTTTTGATGTAAAAAGTTTTTAGTACGAATTTACAAAATTAACCACTTATAATAAGTGAAAATTTAGTGTTTATTTTCAAAGGCGTAGCAACTGTACTTTACTTAGTGTGGGGGGGGGGGGTGAAATTATAAATTGTATTTTCTTAAATATTATTTGTTTATGCACGTTGTTACCTTTTTTCTAGATTTCTATGTTGTTAATTATTTAATAAGTAATTTAGCTCAAATTGTTGACAAGTGTAGATTCAAAAATTGACCAGGACAAATAAAATTAGAGTAGCTTGACCTGTTCGCGGGCCAAGATCTACTTTAAGATAAAATGAAAGATATTAAAGTAAAGCAATGACAAAAAAAAGTTGAGCACCACCAAGTTTTTCAGTAACTTGGAAAACTTCTGATTTTAAATGTCCTGTTTAATTGAGTCTGTCTCTGGTACTTAAAGTTATCTGTAAGAGTTGTGGCAAATAAAAGAAACTGAGAAAATTTAATACATTTATTAAAAAGTGAAAGATTAATTTTACAAATTAGATAGTGAATGAGTGATAAAATTTACTGACGATACTGATAGATGGTGGTATTTTGGTACGTAAATACGGTACTTTCCTTTTTATAGCTAGAGGCAACTAGCTAGGAGCTTCCTGGAGGACTTTGGAGCTTCTTAATACGTTTTAGAGCTTCTTCTTAGAGACGGTCCTTGGAGGTAGAGTACTCTTCTTGGAGACAGTACTTCTTCTTTGAGACAGTAAAGATAGTACTTAGCCTCTTCTTGTTGGAGACAATATTTGAAGGTATAGAGTATTCTTCTTGGATACTTGGAGGAGTACTTCTTGGATACTGGGAGGAGTACTTCTTCTTGGATACTGGGAGGAGTACTTCTTGGATACTGGGAGGAGTACTTCTTCTCGGATACTGGGAGGAGCCACTACAGGTTAAGAAATAAAAGGATCTGAGTACCGTGTGTAAAAGTACATATACATGCCAGTTTGGAAATCTAACGGATTTATGCATAAACGGAATCAATATAAAATATCACGACAAATATTAAAGTTACGTCATCTAAACAAAATATAAAATATCACGACAAATATTAAAGTTACATTATCTGAACAGAATATAAAATATTTATAAGGCAAAAATAAGTTAGGAGCCATAAATTTCCGTTTAAACTGTATTTCCAAAATGACTTGTAATTCAATTATTTAGTTGCCTCCCCGCGTATATATCAAAGTAATTCAATGATAACACATTTATATTAATAGATATAAGATAGCTTAAAAAATATTATTAATTAGGGTAGCTATAATCTATATAAAATGAAATAAAATATAGAAACCGGCTTTTTCCAGCATGGCGGTAATAAAAAAAAGCACATGGCCGAGCTTTGGTTTTGCAACTAAATCCAGTAAAATGGGAATAAAAGAAAAACATTTACCTGACAATTATCCCAACGTTCACACTTAATAAACACAAATTAAAGAATTAAGGAAAACTATTCATAGTAGGCACATTTATCGGTACATCCGACACATTGAACTCGAGACATCAGAAAGAGCGATTGATTCCAAGCGAATCGGTTTTGTGACCACTAGATTTCGCGCGCAAACGGTGCTTTGTGTAAAAATCGATAATGGTATTAATGCTAGGGCCAGAGTCATAGATTGTGTTACGAGGGGTTATGGAGAAGTTGTTGTTAAAAATAAATTTGAAATTGATTAAAAATTAATTTCACGTAACAACGTACATACTTGTATGTCAGTTTTCTCCGCGTCGTATTGAAAGTTTGTCACCATGTCAAGCGAAGATGAATTAATGGCGTCGGTCACAAAGAAAATGGGTTAAATATTGGCTACTAAAGAGAAACTAATATTCTCATATTAGTTAACTTGAAGAGCTACGATTAGAACCTGATGGTTGGTGAAACTATCTCCGGATGGATGAAGATAATTATGTAACACTTCTTACGAATAACTTCTTAAATCTGCCATGTTCACAAAATAAAAATAAATAACCTTTAAAAACCAATACACGGCACTGGAAAGACTTCTTGCAAAAGATATGTCTACATACTGGTGAACATCACCGCGCGTACATCAACGTGCACGCTGGAGCCCATGTACATACCATTGTGATCATTGTAAGGTTTTTATTTTGCTCCCCACATCCATCGGAGCAAAGCCTTAGATCTGTTACGTCATCTAGGTTAAGTTTCTGAAGTCTATCGAAAAATGCAGAGGCAACTTCGTTTGAACCTTTTGCTTTGTCAGTTTCTTTCCATGTGTAGCAAAAAACATTGTCTTTCTTTAACAACGATTTAGAAGTTCCAGCGACGATTGCGAAGTTATACATGTAAACTGCCGTTTGTAATAAGCCTGTTGGTCAGGAATCTTGGGTAACAGTAGATTTTTTGACAATCGTATGACATGGTTAGCATCTCAGCCTTCTCTTCTTTTGGTAGGTCAAAAAAAGATTTTGCTTTTAGCTTATTGATTAATTCTAGATTTAAGTTCTAAACAACTTAAGCATGCGTCAGTTTAGGGGGAAATTAAATTTTTTGGTAAACAGAGCTCTAAAAAAAACTTTCTTTCACTGCATACTCAGGAAATTCCGTATTAAACATTTTCCACATTTTATTAATGCTTCAATCGCTTGAAAGATATTTTCTGGAACTGTGACCTCGACAATAATGGCTCTCTTTTATAGAAAAGGTCTTAATGAAGTCCATAATTTTATTTTTTTTATGTAAATTTTTGTTTTTAACCTTGTCATCACCGCGATTTTCCACAGGCATAGTCCCAGTTGCATGAAAACGTTTTAGCACGCCATTGACTCTGTTATGACTTAAATTTAGTGCCTTCAGGAAGGTATTCTTGCAAACTGGAATTAAATCCTTTGTCATATGCTTTGGAATAAAGTAGTGGATAGATGTATTTCTATCCCGCTTATTTTGCGATGGACGACTTCTTTTGGAAGTCCTTATCGTGCAGTATTTTATGATATATGCATCTTGAATCCTTAATGCGAGACTCGTAAAATTTTGCATGAAAATAGATTACGTCAAGATTAGATAAGCAAGAACATTTTAAACTTTTTGTATCATGTTGGCGTACGGGAAAACTCGGTGGTTTCTTACCTGCATATCTAAAATACGAGTCATCTTGTAACCTAAAAACTTTACGCGAGAAAATAAACTTATTAACCTTTTCTCTGATGCAAGATTCCTTTTCCATAATTTTTTATTTTCAACTTTTTTTCTGGCTAAATCGGGGGTTCTTTCAGCTGGGGCACTCATATTCACAACTTTACAGTTACAAAAACCATAATAGTCCAATCAAATAGACCTTTGAATCAAAATTTTGGAGGAAATACAGGAATTTTTGATATAAGTCACTTTAGAGTATTTGAAAACGATGTGTAAAAAAAATTGTTTTTCAGGCCCCCGCAAATGGCGGAAAACAAGAAAATAAACTGTTTTTTAAGGTTATTTAAAAACGGTAGGTGCTATAAAAAAAACTTCTTAATAAAAATTGTAAAGCATAAAGTTTTACATAAAAATGATGATTAGCATTTTTTGCATTCACTAAAACTAACAGAGTTAGGGTAGTTAGAAGTTAAGAGGAGATATATATGAGCTGAAAATTCAATAGGTTTTTATTTTCTTTTTATTATTTACTTAGAAAAATATGAACTTTCTTTTCAGAAAAATAATTTTTTTAATTTGTTTTTTTTTTTTAAGTTGACAATTTAAATTTACACATTTTCAATACATTATACGACATTATATGGTAAAATAAATTTTGAAGTGAACTTATTATGGCTTGCCTAACAAAAACGATATTGCGACAGTTTAGTCCCCACTTAAAATTCCATTAAATAAATAAAAATTAATAAAAACTAATTAAAGAATAAAACTAAATAAAAATAAATAAAGATAAATAAATAATTTAAATAAGTAAATAAAAATAAATATATAAATAAAATTACACAAAAATAAATCAAATTAAATAAAAAGATAAAAGTAAAAGAAAATAAATTAAAACAAATTAAAATAAATTAAAATAATTTAAAATAATATAAAATAAATTAAAGTTAACTAAATAAATTAAAATAAAATAATTTAAATTAAAACAAATAAAAATAATTCAAAATAAATAAAAAGAATGTAAGTAAAAATAAATAATAATAATAATTAAATTTGAGTAAAAGAAACTTAAAATAAATAAAAAGTAAAAAATAAATGAAAATTAATTAAAAAATAAATAAAAAATAAATATAAATAAATTAAAATAAATACAAATAAAAATAAATAAAAATAAATTAAAAAAAAAAATAAAAAAAAATTTAAAAATAAATAAAAATATACGAAATTTTCCCGGAAAAAATGAAGTCCAGGGAGAAATTCGTGTACGTGGTGAAGTAGGGAGAGGATGGGGGTGTTTTTAAAAAATAATAATAAAATTATTTATTTTTAATAAACCGTCGAAAAACGAAATTTTCGAAACGTCATAAAAAGTGACAGGTGACAGGCGAAACCCACATGTCTAGAGCTTCGACCTGTAACACAAACTCCCTTCAACCGTGCACCCAATTCGCGGAAAAGGGAGCAAGCGGATTTTTGCACGTTTTTTCGTGATTTTTCGTGGTTACCATGGAAACCGCCAAAAGGATTTGACGCAGATTTTTTTAAAAAGCGTTTCATGGGTTTACAACTTCTGGCCAAGTTTCATTGAAATCGATTCATCCGTTCAGACGGTACGATGTTTTTTTTGTGATTTTGGAAACTTTATTTACTTAATAAAAGGAAATATTTATATCGAAATTTTTATTTTATTTTTATTTATTTATTTTTAGTTTTTTAATTTTTTTAATTTATTTATTTTTTTGTATTTAATTTTATTTATTTTTGTTTTTTTTTATTTATTTTTATTTATTTATTTTCATTTATTTTTATTTATTTCTATTAATTTTTATTTTTATTTATTTTTGTTTATTTTTATTTTTTTGTATTTTTTTTATTAATTTTTATTTTAATTTATTTTTACTTACATTTTATTTTAATATAATTTATTTTAATTTATTTTAAGTAGTTTTATTTTATTTTCTTTTACTTTTCTCTTTTTATTTAATTTGATTTATTTTTGTGTAATTTTGTTTATATATTTATTTTTATTATTTTGAATCATTTTTGTTTAGTTATATTTTTTATTTTGTTTTTTAAGTAATTTTTATTTATTTAGTGGAACTTCAAGTGGGACTTAACTGTCCCAATGTCGTTTTTATTAGTTCGTTACACATATTTTTCATGTCAGGCAAGCCTTAAAAAGTTCACTTCAAAATTTATTTTACCATATAGTCATATAATATATTCATACTTAAATAAAAACAATTGAAAAAAATTATTTTTTTTTTTTGAAAAGAAATTTCTTATTTTTCTAAGTAATCTTAAAAAAACACTTTGTTTGCTTGTTTTTCGCCATTTGCAGTGGCCCGAAAAACAAAATATTTTTACATATCGTTTTCAAATACTGTAAAGTGACTTATATCAAAAATTCCTGTATTTTCTCCAAAATTTTGATTTAAAGGTCTATTTAATTGGACTAATAAAAATACTTTGAATATTGAACAACAAAACGCCTAAGCGATCCTCTCCCCACACTGTTTACAATAAAACTAATAATATTGATTTAACCAGCAACGACGTGACCGCAAACTGGATATAACTGCTTATGATTGTTTCGAAATATTCCGCATGAAGACAATATCTGATTTTTCACATTACTGGATATATCTGCTTTTGCATATTTTATATGATTGGATATAACTTGTTTTGAACTTCGGCTAAATATTTGATCAAGGTTAAGTATAGAAAATATCTTACTTTGAATGTTGGTTAGACTTGCAATCGATGCGGTATTGTCACATTTAAAATATCGATACATTTCCCGCAAAAATTTGAAAATTGGAAATATCTGGTTTTGCATCTAGGCGCCTCAAATGTTACCGGCATTTTATTTTATAACAACGTAAGAAAACCAGTGCTCTCTCTCTCTCTCATTGCAGTTCACTATAGTCGAAGGAATATGTATTAAAAAAATGTAAGGGGGCCGTATCTATCTCCTTCAAATATATTGGCAATTGAAGGTAAATTGAGGGGAGGTTAACGGGAAATTGCAGGCCTTTTACCATATTAATACTGACTTCTGAATAAAGGCCATGTGCCAGGCACATAACCAGACGGGGATTCGATAATGCCTCTTTGACCAGTAGTACCGTTTAAACTATAAATTTTATACTATAATAGAAGGCATTCCAATATAAAATATTGTAGACATTTAATTCAGCTATATAATATAATAAGAGAGAGAAAAATGTCTTCTACAAAAAGTAAATTCATTAAATGTTCTAAATTAACAACCATATAAAAGTAAGAACTTACAATGAATACTGAATAGTGAATACCAGAAAACCGAGACTGAGCACATAGTACTCGTCGAGTATGTAGCAAGAGATCATAGGTGTTTCCATATATGAACGCGGGACGGAGCTCTCCTAGACTATTAAGGTTAAGTATACGGCAGTTAAAACTCTTTTAAATTTTACCATGCTTTTACTTATTAAAGTTACTTACCCTTCATAAGGCCATCAACATAATGCTGGGCCACTATCGGAAGGCCAAAAGTAGGCTTTTATCTTTTAGTCGGTGCATTTATTTTCCCTTCAATTACAGCAAAAGGCCAGCAATATCCCGGCAATTTATTGGTTTTTATGTGAATTGTACGATGAAATACAAATTTAGACGTAATTCACTATCGAACCTGTCAGTTCAACCAAATCTTACCTTATATATGTTACAAAGTAATTTAAATAGCCATTAAATAGGCATAGAGCGACACTTCTTGGCAAAGATATCAACTACTGTAGTATAGACTAATAGTCTGCTTGTGGAGTCTAGAAGAGCAGCTTTTGGTGATATTATTGACTACTTAGAAAAAACAGGCTGGTTGAGGTAAATTATCACATATATTAAGTAGTAATATGACAAGTGTCGTCAGCATATTTGAATTACATTTTTAGAAATAATATGTTGAATATTTTAGTACATTCTGAATATGCTAACAGTAAGAGTAGTATTCGTAAAGAATTTATATTATAACAAATAAAAAATATATCAAGAACCCAATATTTCATTTTGTATTTAAATTAATCTTACATTTATTATTATATCCTACTATGATTATGACTTTTATAAAAAAATTATTAATTTCAATATCACATTTTACTTTCATATAGTCTGTTTTATCATGATTAATCATGGAAAAATAAATATAGTTAAAATTATTAGATAAAATTGGCTCTAAAGCGAGGGACTACTAGATTTTGATCTATTTAACGCACGAGGCGAAACAACAAGGTGAATAGCAATCTGGTATATTCATTTATCTGTACGCTCCAACTGTGCAAAATTCATGGATCTTATTCATAATTATAAACCTTAATATTAAAGCGGTTGATTAGATAAGAGGAAGTTGCTTGCGTTACCATAAGTTGGTATGAGATAGGAGATAGATTTAGAAGATCCGAAAATGTATTAAGACATTATACCACTCTTCTATCCAATCCTATTTTCAAGAATGTTCGCCATTTCTTTTAATAATAATTCACTTACTAATAAAGACATTCTACAACACGCTAAATACGTGTGTTCTATTTTAAATGGATACTAGTATGCATTTGGTCTTCAATTGATCTGTTAAAATAATAACTTATAGTCATAATTCAATCGACTTTAGTCTAATGAGACTGAGGCTTTAAACCAGACTTCATGTACAGGTAGGATTGTTGAACAGTAAAAAAATTAATATGACATATAAGATCATAAATCTGCTGTGGTGAGGGCAGTATCAAAACGGGACAAAAGTAAAAGTGAAATACTCGTTTTTGTTCATATATTTTTAGTTGTTTCTATTTTTCATTTAACTATACAAATTTTGTTGATATGCAGAATAACTTTAAATTTGCTAAAAAACATCCCCTTTAGCATTTCTATATTTAGACCTCAGAGCCAAACAGTGTTAGGTCCACCTTTTTTAATTTTCATTTGGTTAGTCCTACATAATTGTTCCTGTTCCTTCCAATTAAGCATACAGGCAGTCAAAAGTTTCAACAAGCTCTTCTGTAAAATTTTGTAAAATGGACCTAATACTCTTTGGGTCTAAGGTCCAGATATAAATTACCGCTTTTTGTATTTTAGTTATCTTTACCCGACGATGGAGGAACTAGCCAACCAGCTGAGTTACGTCATGAACCATTTCGGTCTAAAACAGTTCATAGGATTCGGTGTAGGGGCCGGCGCAAATATTATGTGCCGATTCGCTCTAAATCATCCAAACCAGGTATCAGCTTTGTGTCTGGTTAACTGCATTAGTACTCAGGCCGGTTGGATAGAATGGGGCTATCAAAAACTCAACACAAGATATCTCCGTTCCAAGGGAATGACGCAAGGTGTCTTGGATTATTTGATGTGGCATCATTTCGGAAGGGTAAATATCTTTATATTCATAACTAAGATCGCTAATGTAATACCTATAATGTAATTACTTTGTATGCACGTGTTTATAATGAACTTATCGTTAATTATGTTGATATTTACTTTCTCTAGTGGGGTCCTCTCATCTACTATCTATTTTGATATAGCAGAAGTAGAAGTTGGAAAGGCTTTTGCCTTTTCAAAAAAGGACAGGTAGCAACCCTAGCTTCCTTTCTTTTGTCCTTTAGTAATCTTCGAGCTGATTGTCGAATTGGCATGGCGCCACCAGTGTCAATCTTATGTTTTACAACAAAAGTTCTTCCTGTTTTCCTCCTTTTGGTACAAAAACGTCACGATATCGTAGAATAAATTGTTTTATTATCCTTTTCTCTAATTGATTTAGAATCATTGGCATGAATTTGTTATTGGAATTATCAGAAGTTGTTGTCTAACGAATTATAGAAATTTCTGTTATACATGTTCCGATTCTGGTCCCTTTCTTGACGGTAATTGGTTGATCATTAACATTTATGAGACGTACTGGAATTTCTTTAGCGGTCGTAACCAACCCCTTTCCGATTAGAATTCCTCCTCCAACCTCTTTATCGTGGTTCCAAGATTCCATCATGACAGGTACCAGCTTATCTTTCTGTACAGCTACTGACACGGTACTGTCCCTATATGGATGTACCAACTATGTTCTTAAAATCCAACTGAAAACTATGTAAGTTCATTATATCAATTCCAAGTATAACATCTTTAATATCATCGACAATAACAGTACGAGTGAACTTTTCTGTACCAATTCCTAATTGAACCTAAATTTCCTCGTGGATTTTGGGACTTTCACCTGTGGCAGTCCGCAGTCGAACCTTAATGGTAAAAGAAGTTTGCGGTTATTTATGTCTGTTGGTCGTATAACGTCCTTCTTGCTCCCGTATCCACCAACAGTGTATACTTTTTACCATTTATTTCACCGTCTATGTATACACTAATATAGCGTTATTTCAAAGAGACGATCAGTATGAGAGGGTCTTTGGAACAGTTCCAGGTCGAAGCTGCCATCTCTAGCCCGACCAATCTAGTTTTCTTGCTGCGTGTTGTATTGGTGTGTTGTGATCCTAGGGCCACATGTTCACTGCAATTCCAGCACCTGATAGTCTTTATCTTCATCTTCTTGCCAGTAAGGCGCTTCACTTTAGCAACCAATGGATCGAGTTTATCTTCCCCTTCTTCATCTTTTCCAGGCCTCACTTTACTGTATCCACCAGAAGCTTGTGTAGCTGCTCTAGACTCTAGAGCAGCGGACAAGACATCGACCAATGTTTTTTGACGGGCTACACGGAGTGTTTTATGCTCATGGACTCCATCAGAAAATATATATACGTTTCCGAGTCCAAACCTTCACTTTCTAGTGCTTCTTTAAGTCGCTCTGCCAGCTCTGCTTTCTTCGCTGTCGTCACCAGATCACGATGCTTCGGTTCTCGGCACAACTTAGTCACTTTTAAATCATTTCTGTCCACTATTTATTTACAATCCCACTTCTGGCACCAATGTAACGTTTGGTTGATTTAAAAGTATTTATTTAAAACAGTTTATTTACAACTAGTATTAATTAACATATTTAAGCACTATTTCACAATTATAATTTAATTAACATTTAACCTTAACTTGACAACTTTTACATTAAAACTTAACTTAAAAGGCAAAAGAATTCATTTATATACAAAAGTGTAGCAGCCTAAAAAATCCAATCCTGACCACTGGCAGTTTTGCATCTTTACTGCACTTATGCACCAGCCGCTAGTGATCCTGACTAGAAAGCTCGACGTTAGTCTAGAAGTTCTCGAAATCGTTCCTCCATGCTTCAGGCTGCGAACAGAAAAAATACTCTAGCTAGTCGAATCTCGATTGTCAGTGGACCAGCGTCAGATGTATTGGCAGCAGTGAAGATCAACAAAGAACAGGGTCGCTGTCAGATACGGTCGCACGACAGTATTAAAAATGTTAAAATTGTCTAGCATTTCTGGGGTAATAGTAAATACGAGGCTTACCAGGAATGTAACTTAATTAATTTATTTAATGTAATTTCTGTAAACACAAAAAACTGTCAGACGTAAAGATAATGATAATTGCTTTCAATTGACGCTACTTTCCATTAAAAAATTTAAAGAGTAACACCCTTTATCTTACGTCTCAAATTTTTGTTTTGTCTCTATTTTCTTCCATTTAGCAATTAAGAGGGGGGCACAATTTACGTCTTCACTGAATATCTCTGATGAATTTTGTTTTATTGTTCTGGAAACTTGATGTCTAATAAGCTATTATATAGAAGTAGGAGTGACGTTGATAGGTATTTATTATCAGCAATGTTATCTGTATGTGCTACCATCCATTTTGTAGAAACAAAAGAGCAATAGATATATTAACATTTTGAACTGTTTGATAGGAAGCGTTCCACCAATTTGGCAAAATATATAAAACTAACATTTTATTTAATATGTAAGAAATTAAAAATCAAAGCTATATATGGCTTTGTATATTTCAGAATTTTAATTCATTTTTGATTTTTTTTTTTTTTTTAGCAAACTGAAGAAAGAAACCATGATTTAGTTCAAGTGTACAAAAGTTATTTTGAACGCAACGTAAACCCTACCAATTTAGCTCTCTTTATCGACAGCTACGTACGAAGGACAGATCTCAATATCCACAGAGAAATGGATCCATTAAAGAAGAAAAATTGTACGTTGTCTATGCCTGTAATTAACATAACAGGATCTATGAGCCCGCACATGGAGGACACGGTTACCTTCAATGGGCGACTTGATCCCACAAATTCTTCATGGATGAAGGTGAGTTACTGTAACATTTATTTATTTAATTTGTATTCACTAAGACACTAATTTTATTTTTTATTCATATCAATTTATGTACTAAATACAACACTAAATTATATCTGTTACTGCTCTACATTAATTTATATTTACAATATGTATATTGAGAATATTTATTTTAACAACAGGATATCCAACTAAATTGGGATATGTACATAAAAATGTGGCATTCCATACTTGTTCTCGCAGATTCTAGATATATCCATAATTTTCTAGACTGATCTAAACTTATTGCATTTGCCAAAAATTAAAATTTTGAGATTCTTAGTTAACATTAAAGTGCATTTCAGAATGATGAACTATTTCCACTGCTGGATTCCATAGGCGTATCTTTGGGGGGTTTCGCGTGTTTACTTATATTATCGAATATCTTGGTAACGTGAGAAATGGAGGCATACTTACTGGATTAGAGCATGACCAGACTGTTCGAAAATTACTCACACGATATTACTAAAGCTTATGTCCATATTTTATATATGCTTTGTTAAATCGCTAACACGATGACCTCAGTTCAATATTATCATATTTGGTACAAAACTCGTTTCATTTCCAAAGCGGTGAATTAAGATGTTTGTTTTAATTATGTATTTATTAGAAATAAAAACAAATATTGTTCTATAAGCTAATGTGTTGCTCTTATTTGGTATCGTGAGATCTTCAATAACAAGTCCTCTTCAACCATTTGTTATGGCAGCTAGCCATTTCCTTTTTAGGTTTCTTATATTTTAGGATTCTAGATGTGGAAGGAGTAGTGTATTTTCGTACTTTTATATTGTAGTATTCTGGATTATGTGGATTATAGCTTAATCGGATTTACGACCAAATAGGTTTTATGACAGTTTTGTAAAAGATAAGTTTATTTTATGGTGCCATTGTGAATTTTCTGTTTTATTCGTCAATTTCTTGCCGTTTTCCAACTATATTCTTTCCATGTGCATCCTGAATCCAGGTAGATTCCTAGATATTTCGTATTTGTGGATTATTTGATTATTTGTTTAGAAAGACTAGAGGACATTTATGTTTTCTTATTGTTGAAGTCACTTATACTGATGTTTCATTTATTTTTATTCTCCATTTATGTATCCAGGTTTAGATATCATTCAAGTGTCTTTGTAACATCGCAGACGTAATTGACTTTACATATCTTGTAAGTATGAATGTGTCATCGATAAACGCTCCCAAAACCTAATTGAATTGTAAAATTGAACTTAATTTGATTCACTTTTGTTCGAAATTCTCTGTAACCTAGATAAAATCGCCACATTTTAAGTTGGAATGATTTCTTGATTTTATAGTTTAAGCCCATTATATACCCCTTATTAAAAACTTGGCTAACATAAGAAAGCAAGTGTATTGTTTGTTTTCCACAGCTAAGTTTATACTGTGGGCTATTCTGTAAGCTTGATACACCGTAGAATGTTCTTTCGGGAGACAAGTAACCAAATTGGTGGAGAAGTATCCATTTTTCTATGCCTGGGTCAATATTTTCCTTGTCTGTAATATTCTCTCAAATATTTTAGATATAATTGGTAACAGAAAGCCCAGTTTACCATTCTTTTTTCGCTTTTGGGAGACACTGGCCGCCGCTTGGACATTGTTTTGGTGTCTTCCATTTACTCTTACTGTGTCCCTTCATCCTTTTCTTTCTTGGACATGGTTGTTTTTAATAGTTTATTTATGTTATTCCATGTTTCCTCGTCCTGAAGCATCAGCATTGATATATTATCCTTGATATATCCGTTGGTTTCTTCTATCTTGAATTTTAGTAGCCATTGTTGGGGCTGTTCTGTAGGTTGATGTAATGCTCACGCCATTTTTCTGTTGTCTTTTCATCCTTATTTGGGATCCGTATAGTATCATGAACACTGTAAAGTACTCTTCGGTTTGTTGAATCCTGGGATACACAGGTTTGGAGTGATCTTTCCTTTTGTTTTTATTATGTGTTGTTATCTCTAAGTTTTTGTCAAAATATACCCACATAGACTTCACTGTTGACTGTGGTTCCATTATTGTTCCTTCTAGTTTTACTTGCATGGTTATGTGTTTCCCTGGTAGTATCACTATCTCAGTTTTGGCGAGAGCCAGCTTTTCCTTTATTTTGTTTAGTGTGTTCGCTATCTTGTGTACAGTTAGATTTTAATCTTTACATTAAAGTTTTCAGAAATTTGTCCTGCTACCTCTACTTTATATCTATATTAATTTGACCTACTTCTTGGGTATGGCTAGATTCATCAAAATCATAACATCTTATTTCGATCTATTTTCCAGGAAGTAAATATCAATCTCTACATCAAAATATTTTATTTTTAGATTTCAGACAGTGGTATGGTCTTAGAAGAACAGCCAGGAAAAGTCAGTGAAGCTTTTAGATTATTCCTTCAAGGCGAAGGATACGGTAAGTGATTGTAATACATGCCTAGCAGTTTCAAATATTAATAATTGTTAAATTAAAAAATATATATTATATAGATTGAACATATAAGAAATAAGTATACCTATGCATTATAATTATTTAACTATTTTAAAAATGTTATTTTTCAAAATGTAACGTAATTTTTTAAATGAAATATGGCTTTTAATTGCCACTAAGTTTACACGCTCATTACACTGCTTTGCAAATTTAGTAATATTTATACAGTTTAAACTCCTTTTAAAAAATTGATTTAAGTATCAAATTTTGTAAATTGAAAATGTACAGTTTAGTTTTTATTTTCAATAACTTGCAATGTGATAACTATTCATTTACTTTTTATTTTTATAACTTCTTGGTGTCCATTCTGTTAAATTGTGGTTTTTCACTAACTTGTCCATTTTCTTACCTTCCACTCCTCTTTAAATTTTATTGATTTCCTATTCCGTTTTATTTTATCCTAGCCTATAGTTTTCTGTAATCTACTTATTCTTTATTTCATTCTACTGCTTATCTTCTTAATCTTTAACCTTTTTGTCCTTAAGAATGAGGCATTTTGTTCTCGCGTTTTGCCAGCTTTTTGTAAAATGCCTAAGCAGTTTATAAAAAGCCTAAATTTGCATTTTGCCTACGACATATACATTATTCTAAATCGAACAGTGATTGGCCGCCCGCAGGAACGGAAAGTACCAATGACAATTTACGCTACTACGCCCCGCCCACCAACGTTCAATGCATTTAGTAATCTTAACATGCTAAGATTGTCTCGTTATTATGCCTTGTGTTTGTCCAAGTTAGTGTCCTTCGTGTAGCCAAGCACGCTTCCTATCGGCGCCATTTCCGGCATTTATGTTAAATATGTCTTCCCTAAGTTGTTCAGGAAGACAATTTATATAGAATTTCTCCGTTATGTTGAGAATGAATTGTTGGATAGAAAGTATGCCTGTGTTCCCGTGCATGTCCGTTATTCTGGTTGACCTTATGCACCCCAGGATTAGCCTTAGACAACTGTTTTAGATTATTTTTTTGAAATTTATCTGTGCCATCGAACAAAAGACTGGACATCCATATGTTAGTATGGGTCTGAGTTTGAATATCAACATTTTGTTGTCTTCAGAAACCTTGCTGGCTGAGCATTGGGTAAAGTGTTTTTATCATCCCATTGGCCTTTATAATACGATCTTTGATATGTGTGTTGAACGTTAATCTCCTATCTAGGTGAAATCCGAGGTATTTTATTTCGTTTTTTTGGTTCAATAACTTTATTATTAAGTTGTAATAACAAAGTGTTTTTAATTTTGTTTGGGTTTATTTTCATTTTATTATCCTCTAGATGGGGTATTAACGTTCTGTTTATATGAATGTCCAGTCTTCCTGTGGCAATTTCGGCTGAGTCTGCGGACTTGTAGACACAGGTGTCGTCGGCGTACAGTGCCGTTTTTGACCCCATTATGCGCCATGGGCATGTCATGCGTCATAATGGTGTACAAATGGTGTGAAAGTACTGAACTCTGAGGTACTCCAGCCTCCGCTATGTATGGTCCCGTTTTGGTATTATTTATTTTGACGTAGAACGTTCTGTCTTGTAAATACGAGTGAATTGGTTTTATAGTATGAACAGGATAGTTGTTCACAATCATTTTGTGTATCAGCCCGTTGGTCTAGACGGTGTCAAACGCCTTTTCGGTGTCAAGGGCCACTAGTACTGTTTGTTTTTGTTCATTAAATGCCTTTTTGGCGTAGTGAGTATTTGAGCTACAGTACTGTGACCCTGTCTGAAACCGAACTGTTCCATCGGGATGATATGTTTGTCATTGTCACTGTTACGTAATTGTGTTAGTATTTTGGAAATGATTTTTAATATGTCGGATAAGAGTGAGATGGGACGATAGTTATCCACTGCTTTTGGGCTCGTTTCTTTCCTTTCTTAATAGGAATTACATTGTCTTAGTAATGTTTTGGCAATGATTTTTGATATGTCGGATAAGAATGAGATGGGACGATAGTTGTCCACTGCTTTTGGGCTTTTCTTTCCTTTCTTAATAGGGATTATATTCGCTGTTTTTAGTGACTTGGGGTAATACTGATTGGTAATTATTGCATTTATTAAATGATATAATTGCTCTATTGCTTTTCTTGATAGATTTTTTAATAATAGATTATTAATACCGTCGGGTCCTGGTGCCTTCTTGTTTTTCAATCTGAAAAGCACTTCTCTTGTTTTTTTGGGTACTGGTTATGCAGGTAAGTCCTGCAGTTCCCTGACCGAGTTATTGATACGCCTTTTGTTCTGCATTATAGGCTTGAGTATTTTTGAATATGTTTTGAAAGAATTCACCGAAATCTTCTCATTTTTCGTTGTCAGTAATTTAAGTCTCCTGTCTGTATTTCAGTGTGGGGATTTGCAAATGTGGTTTTTTGAAATGTGTCGCCATTCTCCACACTGAATTGGCGTATATTGGTGTATACATTCACTACAACTAGTCAAATAAAAATTAAGAGCTGAAATTCATCAGAGATGTTCATTTTTTATTAGTGGGAGCTGGGTGCATAAGTTTTGAAAACACTTTTAAACGATTTGCTTATATGTATTTTAATTGTAGTAAAATAAGACTGTTTGGTAATAAATGATTAGAATTTCACCAGCTGTAATTTATCGACTAAAAAAGTTTTTAGCAATTTCTAATAGGACTAATATTTAGTCAAAAATAAATATTAATAGAGACCAATTCCCCCCATTAAAATACCTACTTTATTCTAAGTTTATTATATTTTTAAGTTGACTTTAAAACCTCAATACTGATAGTTCTTTATTACTAACGTCATTAATGTTGAAATATTTATTTTTTGAAAAGTAGCCGGTTTTTTGCTATTTGTATTTTACTAAATGTAAAAGCTGCATTAGGATTGTCAAAAACTTATTCCGTCGATAATAAATTATAATTGGTTAAATTCTAATTACCAATTAACAAACAATTTCCTATTAACCGGTGATCAGTTAAAATTTGAATTACAAATCTGTCAAAATTACTAACTTAGGTATAGGGAATGCTTAAATAAAACTTTAATTATGGTACTTTTAAATGGTAATATAAAATGCAGGATGTTTAATTAAAAAAAAAACTGAGAAAATTATGTATTTGAGTTTTGACTCACCCTGTAGAGATTCGTTTCTAATTGAGAAAAGTGTTGACTAAAAAAATTGGTTTTCAATTGTTTCTTTTGCACTATACATACATCAATACGATTTTCATATAAAACTGGTTATAGGGTGTGAAATACCCTATACAGGGTTGGGATAAAGTATGGAATCAAGTAAATATCTTTAAAACGAAAAGGACGATATTTATGAAACTTTGCAGGCAAGTGCAATGACGCATAACGCATCTGATGCCATATTTTTTGTTACTACTGTACTTCCGGTTTCACCGGAAATATCCTCGACTTTTTTAATTTAAAGGGGACACCCTGTATATTTTTGTAGATTTTAAAAGATCTTGTTATTCGGAATTCATACATACTATAACATTTTTAATTTAATCGCCTGTTTTGTTCTAAATTGCCTCTAGAAATCCTTATTAACTACGACTGTAATTTTTAATTTAATAAAAAAAAAATAATTAAACTTTTTTTATATAAAATTGTCATTGGTTTCCAATTTTTTGAAAGGAGTTTTTCCAAATAAAGTCGTTTAAGAAACGACGACTGTTAAAAAGTAGAAATTAAACACAATCATACACTGAGTTATTTTTTATTTTTACAATGTTTGCGTTGGTTGGATATGCGCGAATGGTATGTATTGGTAAATATAAATATGCCTCCTCATTATCACCAATTCCTGCTAATTTTTCATGGATTATGTTTTTCATAATAATCAGCAAGTTCAGTGAAACTGTGTCCGAGAATAGAGCCGGTGCTAGAAAAATATTAAATCAGAATAAACTCTGTATTTATTTTTAACTATTCATGTTCCCTGATTAATTTAACTGATTAATATTTTTAAGTTTACGAATAGAGAAACTTTAGTATGAAATAAAGTTTCTGGAATTAGCAAAATTACAAAAACAAATTTGAAGTAGTTCCTTAGTGAATTAACTAACTAAATTTCTTAAATATAAAAGCAGAGAACTTTCAGATTTGGACTTTGTATTTTTAATAATTCCATAAATAAGGTTTAATGGTTTTTAAATAGAACTTAATAATTTGTTTACTATTAATAATGATTATATACTTTGATTGAAGAATTAAAAAAGTTATAATCTTTATTAATAAATTACCTTTATCTAATTTGTTAATGTCTAATGCCAAAAAACAATACTTAATATTAATTTGCAAATTACAATCGATTTTTAATGTGTGTACCAATTTTAATAGAAGGTACACAATTTGGGTCGGACGAACGAAAACAGGAAGGTTGGTTCCAGTTTTTAAATGATATATTTTCTGTTAAAATTGCTATGCTCATTAGAAATTAGAGTAAACAGATTCGTTCTGTTAAATACTTATAGATCTCGGTATACACTAAATATTTTTCTAGTTACTAACGTTTTATATAAATGGAGGCAAGTTCCTTTAACTTCAGATTGCTATTCTTCTCAAAGTTGAAATATTCTTGCAAGTTTTATGTAAAAATGCTTCAATTGTTAGGTATTTAAATCGTACACTGCCTTTCTTGAAACATGTAGATCTTCAGGCGTCGTTTTTATAGTTAATAGTTTTATGCGTTGTCTCCTAAATTTTAACTATATATTCGAAGTGCTTCCACCAATAAAGATAACGGCAAATGGATTAAAAAAGTATAATCAAATATATACAATTTACAGATGACACATGAAGGGTATCGGTTGAAAACCAGAAATGTCCATCCGAAAACTTTTAGAGAAAAGTGAATTTTAAACTTTGATACATGGTAATTTGACATTTTGAGATAAAAAAAAACCATAAAGGGTAATATTTATTGCTACATTTATTTAGAACATAAAGTT